CCCCCCCCCCCCCCCCCCCCCCCCCCCCCTCCAACTCCGAGAAGTCGAAACGTGGTTTGAGGGAGTCGGTTCTGGAACTTTTGGTAGCCGTGGTCTCTTCCTCCCGCCCTGGATCGGACGAGGCCGCAGTCTCTCTGGCTGCGTCATCGCTACCGGCTGTCATCTGGGGGGAGTTCCTGGGAGGGAGGGCTGTCGGCGTTATGGGGTGGAGTTGGTGGGAGCGGGGAGACGCGGAGGATGGCGGCACGCCGTTGACGGCCAGGTGAGCCGAGACTTGGGGGCACCGCAGTCCTTGCATTTTCGGTACTTTTTTTGGTGTTGGACACCTTTGTTTGCTGTCGGCTGGCGTTACGGAGAACCAGCGGGGGGGGGGATTGGGACTCTCGCCGGTACGGCGCTTGCCGCTACAGCAGCGGCAGTAACATCTCTCGCACATGATCAACCCACCGCGACCGTTTCTTGCTCGATTTACAGGAACGATTCGAGCCTTGGTGTTTCCTAGATTCGAGAATTGGCGTGACCGAGTGTTCACGTCCGCTTCTCTTGTAGCTCTCCTCCTGGCGTAGTGTTCTCACCTGTCCTACCAACGTCGTCCTGTCGTCTCACTATCTCCGAACCCGCCTCTACCCCCCTAGCAAAAACTGTCCCTCCCTCCGGGCGACCCACCTTGCTCCAGGCGGCTCTTACCTTGCCTACCATCAATCGTCGTCGTCGTCCTGTTCGTGTCTTCTTACACGTTTCCGCACCCACCCCCGTCCCGTCACAATACCACATTTCCGTGCTGTTCCTTCCTCCAGGAGACTCGCGGCGGAATTCTTGACGGGACTGGCCAGGCGACCCAGGACCGGTTCCGCCGCTGTCGCGTCCTGGGCAAGCCTTCACGTACTTCCCCCGGAGAGCGACCACGACGAGCTTGGCGGAGAGTCACAGAACCTTCTCGCGGCGGCCGGCTGGGGCGGCGAGTCATCACCGGCACAGCACCTCTCTGAGCCGGAGCCTGCCCCGCTGCTGGGAATGATCGTGCGGGTGAGCCTGGCTGTTGGCGCTATTTTTGTAGCCTAGTCGGAGCTAGAGGGGTTCGGATCGGGGGTTCGTGTACCCCCCCCCCCTGCTTGGTGTGGCTGTATGTGCGGAACACTAGTGCGGTCCTTTTTTGTTGTATCTGGTCGAGATCCTTTCTGCGGAGTTTTTTTTTTCGCCGCTGGTTGCCTCTTTTCCCTTCGTACGGCGACACCTACCGTTTTGCTTCTGTTCCTGTTTTTCAGCAACCGATATGCCTCCAACAACTCTGTGGAATCTGACGAATTCCCTCGACCTATCTTCCCGCAGCGCCACTCTTGTTGCTTGTGTATGTGTACCCTCCCTCCACCGCCCCATGAACTCGAAAGTCTTGATTTTGTCACACCCGGACCCATGTACAACAACAGTCTCTGGTCCGGCATGCCTCCACGCACCGATCCCCCGATGGCTTCCGCGGCCGGGCTTCCCTCGCCGCTAGCCTCGTGGCCCTGGAGACCGTCCTCGCCGCTGCTGCGCTTTCGCCATCGTCGACGCCGTCACCACTGTCCGAGGGGAACGGCAGCGCGGAACTGACGAAGAGCCCGCCCACGTCGCCCGTCCCCGTGGCGTTTTTCGCGGGTAGGGGGGTTCCACACACGCCGGCGTTCGGTCAAGGCTGTCGTGGCGAAGGCGTTAGCGGCGGCGGTGGCGCCGGGGACAAGACCGGTCTCGAATGGGCGCTCCGGCTGGCCTGCCACCGGGATGCGACGGTCCGAGCGGTTTCGTTCGGGGTCCTCGCCGAGCTGGCCGTCGTCGACCGCGGCCTTCTCGTTCCCACGTCTTCCTCCGCCCCTCGAGATTCGCCGGCGATAGCGGGGGGACCGGAACAGGGGGACGAGTCGCCGACGAGAAGCGGGGGATACTCGGCCCGTGCCGGACAAAGTGCCGTTGTCGGGTCGAGAGAGGAGGACGAGGAGGAGGAAGCAGTTGAAGCGTGTGTGCGCGCGGCGCTTGACGGGCGCTACGAGAGCCCGGTCGTCGCCACCGAGGCCTTGAGGTTCTTGTGCAGGTGCGTGTATGTCTACACAAACGTGTTTGCGTTGTTTCGCGTAAGATTATAGTCCTACGTACTTTTCGTTTCGCTGTGGCTATTGTTTTCAGCAGGCAGCGGCCTTGCTCGGCGCATGACTGTTGTCAAAACTTGCCACGCGACAACAGACAGCTGCCTCGCGCTTACGATATGTCAACTGAGGTCGTGCGGGGTAGCTGGTCGCGTTGGTTGGTTCCGCAACGCCATCGCACTCTGAAGATTACGTTTCTTTTCTTTTTTCGGGCTTTCCGCTGACTGTCCTGCACAAAGTATTCAATGAGTTGATCTCGCAGGAACTAAGTTGAAATCGACATCCTTGTGTAGCATGTCTCTCATGCACCGTTGCTGTGGCGGAGTAGCCATGCCTCCTGATGAGACCCCCCCCCTACTCAACCTTCGACCTCTTCTAGCACTAGTTTTCATGGTCTGGACACGCGTCTCCTCGCCCCCCCACTGACCCACTTCTCAACGCCGATCCCGACAGACATACCAATGTCCGCGCTACCTTTACGAGGAGACTGCCGGCGTACTCAGTCCCATTGGCGGCATCATTGGCCAAGTCAGCTGCACCTGTGCTGGGCGGTGAAAGCGGCCAGAACAAGGCAGGATCGCTGTCGGTTGCCGCGGCCTCTCTGCGCTTTATCGTTGTGGTCGTCGCTGCCGCAGTCGACATCTCCGATGCCGCTGCCCGATCGAAGGTGCCAGGGACCGCAGACAGGGGCCACTCGCCAGGGGAGCAGCGAGAACCGCAGGAGGAGCCACGACGAGACGACCAGCACGAGCTCCATCAGCAGTGTGGGCAGAAGCTCGGGAGGCTGTTGGAGGTGCTTTGGGCATTGGGCCTCTTGGAGGCCTGCGTGCACGTTGTCGGCGAGGCATTACCCGTCGAAGGCTCTTCGGGCGGGTGAGCACGCCCTTGTTGGTTTGCTGTCTCTTCGGGCAATTTTGGGGCCCGTGTGTGTTTGTCGGGGAGGGACGGGGTGCTTGCTCTCACTCTTGATGTAGCTGGTGTTTCGTTGCTTCTACAACAGTGCACTCCCAGGTTGCTTCGAGTTGTGACGCTGCGGTTGGGCTCACGGCTTGCTCGTTGACTCGTGTGAGACAGCGGCGCGGGCAATAGCGTCCAGTACTGCCCTTGGGATGATGCATGCAACCACGGTGTGCAACGACTGGCGGGACCTCCCGTACTAGCTCTTAACGCCCCAACGTCCCGTGCCGTCACCTCCTCATCCCCCACCAGATTGTCGCGGCGGGACGGCTGGAGCTCGCTGCTGGCATCCTCTCCCGCCGAGGCTGCCATGGTGTATCGGAGTGCCCAGGCCGCTGCGCTTGCTCTGCTCCGCGTGGTAGTCTCCCGCCCCACCGTCTCGGCCACTCGACCCACCCCTGCGGCCAGCACCCCGCCCCCCCTCGAACAAACGGCGGCATCGGCGGCGGAGCGGGTCTGTACACCCGGCGCTTCTGCCTCAGCAGCGGGGAGTCGCGCCACTGATCACGACGACGGCGGCGGCAGTGCTGCCGTTGCTGCTTCCACATCGGGCGGCTCGAACCGGCCATCGGCAACGACCCCGGCCGGGAGCGGAGGCGTTGACGTCTGGGTGGTGGTGCGACAGGCCTTGCTCCAGAGGACGCCGCTTTTGGCGGGTCTCGTCCGTTGCCTCGTCGCGGCCGCCGCCGCCGCCGCCGTGCTTCGCGGCGGCGGGGGGACGGCGGACCGGGACAGCCCGTGCGATGGGGCCGTGCGTGTGGTCCAGGAGGCCTGCGCAACGCTCAGGTGCCTACTTTGTCGCACCGACGGCGCCGTTGTCTCCGGCGACAACAGCGGTTGTTCGGGGGTTTCCCAGGCCGTTCTCGAGGCCCTTGGCGTCGTGCTGGCGGAGACGCCTTCGGAGGATGGCGTGAAATGGGACGGAGGCGTTTCGCGTCGTTGCGGGAACGGCTGTACTGAAGCGGTGAGAGTTTGTTTTTGACGCTTGGTGGGGATGCGTGCAATTTGGCACAGCCGTGCATGGTTCAAGCGTTTGCGCGTCGTTTCAGTATAGTTTGTCCTCGCTTGGAGCTAACCCAAAGTGTGTTTTGTGTTTTGTGTCAACCAACACCCATTCCCGCGCTCCAAGCCATAGTTTGAGGCTCGCAGCACCCAATGATCAACCTTAATCCTTGCACTCCGCTTGGCGTTCATCCTCTGCAGGCCAAGACCGAAGCCAAGCTTCTTCTGGCGGCGATGCTTGCCACTCGGGCCTGGCGGTGCTCTCTTGACCTAGCTTGCGAGAAGGCCTCATCGCTGGCCGCCGTCCTCTTGGAGGAGGAGGCTGTGGCTTTGACCCGCACCACCGCTCCTGGGGCGACGAGAAATGCGGTAAGACCGCGTCTGCTCTCTCCCTTTGCTTGCAATGCCCCCCCCCCGTGGACCCGGCAAGCCTAAAACTGGAGAATATCTCGTATGACAAAACAATTCAAAATTTTCACCTAGATTGCTGTCTATTTTTCTGGGACTCTGGCGAGCTAACATCGCACCTTCGTTTGACCTGCCTGACATACATTTACGCTCTCCGTGATGATCAACGGAAAGGAATCGAAATACCGTGTGTGCTCACACCGAACAACAAAGGTCAAACAATGTATGTGGTTGAATTATGACGTCTTGTCCTTGGCCGCGCCTTCATTCTTCACTTGGTTGTTCTAGCCGAACCTTGTGTTGTTCGTTGATGACCATGATGTTTTGGTGGCACACCAGTAGATGAGAGGGAAACTACGTCGTTTCAGAATTCAACCCCGTTCCTCTTGGCGGGTGGCAGCAGGTGTCCGCGGAGGCCGAGCTGCGGCGACGGTGCTTGGTCCCTCTCCTGGAGAGCAGCGATGCCCTTCGAGCCTTGGCGGTCACTTCTGGCTTGATAGGTGTGCACCCGCTGTTGGCGGCCGGCACGATTCTTGCGCGGTCTGTCGTTGTCGATGCATTAATCTTTCGTTGTTTCCATCTTGTTGAGTATGTTCTCCCTCTTTCGTGTGTTGTTTGGTTGTTTTTTGCTGTGACTTTTATTGTGGTCGTCGATGCGTTCTATGTGGAGTATTCACATTCTCATTGTCACGTCTACAACTGTTATTGGTGGCCGTGAGCTGAACCCTTTTTCGTCTTCGAAGCGCATGCTGTTCGATTGCCGATTTCGTGTCTTCTTTCTAGCCACATCGGTCTTTCAGCTGAAAAACCTACCCCAAACAATTGCCGAAGCACCGGGTTCCTGGCTTTTTTCTTGACTCTCAACGGACAATGTATCTACGTGAGAGCTAGGACAAAGTGCGTGAAACACACGTCAAGCGAACCCACAGCTAGATATCACCCCTCAGGATTATCCGCTCGGTCGGTAAGGAATTTGAGGTGCTGTGTCGGAGCATTGTGATAGGTTTTGATGCCTGTGCACCACCGGCACCACCAGAAGCAGTAGTTTGCAGAAGCAGCAGCAGCAAAACAACAACAACAACAACAACAACAACAACAACAAACCATATATAGGTGACCTGTCCGTGGCGTTGGAGGCTCTACTCGGGGAGATAGCCACCGTGGGCCACGGACGAGAAACGCTGCAGAACGCCTCCAGGCACCTGGAAACCCTCAAGGCCAAGCACAAGAAACCGACTGGGGGTAAGAAGAAGACGACGGCAACGCCATCGTCTCCGACCTCACCCAGCTCCGATGCCCGCGGCGGTGGCGAGGGCCGGGCGCATACGGGCAAGCCCAGCAACAAGTACGCGGGAAGAAAGCCGCCGATTCCGACGGCCAACGCCAAGCTCGTGGCGGCGACATCACCCAAGCCCTCAGCCGCAACGGCGCGGCGAACAAGCACACCATCGACGGCGATGGGGCAAGGGCGTCGTCGATCATCATCGTTGTCGCCGCCGCCGTCGATGCCGTCATCTCCACCGTTGAAGGCGGCGAGGGCGCCTGTTCAGTCTGTCGACAGAGGGTTGGTGAGTGGGTGCGTGCGGGTGTTGATCACTTGACAACCCGGGAACTCTCCAGGAACGTGATGTTGTTTCGAATGGGCTGCTTGGGCGGTCGATAACAGTGCCCCTTTTCACTCACGTCGAATGTGCAAGTTTTTCCCCCGTGCTTTGGTCGATTCATCCTTGAGCCCTAGTTTACCAGACGCCCCTTGCCCCTACGCTCTTTCTAACGGCTGACCCCTCCGCGCCCCCCGCCAACAACATCGAAAACCCATGACCGACCAACGCTACCACACATACCAAAAACAGGGCCCGGAGAGGGAGTTCTACATGGTGGCGGCTCTGATGGCGTCGGCGATCGGAGGCCCGGAGGGACGGGCCGAGGCGTTACGCCTTCGTCTCCCCCAGCTGCTTTGGAAGGTAACGACCAGATTCCGGCCGAAACTCTCCCTGGGCTTCTTTCCGTACAGCGAAACGGGGGCTGTAGTTAGGTTCGACTTGGGCTGCGGGTTTTGAGGCTTGGTGTTTTAGCCACGGAAGGTATGTGTGTTTCTTGACAAGCATAGAAGTGCTAGGCGGGAAACCCTGGCCACTTTGTGGTGCATCTGACGAGCTGACTGCTTAGTCAAGGACGAGGAGTTAGAGGCGCATGTGGCGATTGTCTTGGGGTGTGCATGCCCACGCGCTCTTTACCCTGCGAAGAGACCGTTCTTGCAGCCTGTCCCGATGGACCCTCGCCCCCCCCCCCCCCCCCAAACATTTCTTGAGCTCGTTCTCGAACGTCTTGCCCTACACAAGCTATCCTAACACGACCTAGCCGCCGTCTTCATTCGGCCGATCGTTTGCGAGGGGATGACGAAACATTCCCCCCGGACCCTGCTCTTCTTGCCCCGACTGGAAACCCTACCCCCCAGGCGTGGCCGATGGCGCTAGCCTCGCAGCTCGCGCACAGCTCTCGCTCATCTAGTCATCGTCGGCATGACCACCACGACCACCGCCGTGGCAGCACCTCGGTTGGTAGTTGTGGCATGGCGACTGCCGGTACCGCTTCGGGAAGACGGGATATGCTGGAGACGCCGGTGTTGCTGCAGGCGTTGCTAGGACTGGCGAGCTGCGTCGCGAGATCGTGCCCCGAGGGCAAGAAGGCGTTCATTTTCGCGGGTCCAGAGGGTAAGCGCACGTTCCTGCCGGCGCCGTGGTGGTGCTTGGAATATTGGGCGTTAAATTGTGCTCCGAGTTGAGACGAGACCTTGTCTAGATAGATTGGGCTGTTTTGGTCTGCCACGCATTGCTGGTGTAGATTGCGATTATGCGTAACATATCGCTGTTTTTCTTGGCACTATTTGTGTTGCGATTGCTGTGTTTCCGGGTGCCTGGTTAAGCGATATCTACTGCAACAGCTCTTGCCGTGAGCTCCGCAATGACCCGTTGCAACATGCTACCACGGGGTATAATACGACTGTGCGCTCATCCCAATGAATCCGGCAATCCGGCACTTCTATCTACGGTCCTCTTGCCCCACCCAAACGCTGTGAAAGGATCATCGTCACCCGAGGCGTCTGGAGCAGAGGGAGGAGGAGAGTGGCCACGGTCGTCGCGATCGTTGTTACACCGCGTCGCTGCACTAGCTTTGTCCTGCTCACCGTCGACGGGCGGAGAAGGACGGGCCGACGCGGGTGCGTTCCCATCCCCACCCGTCACCGTGTCCCGTTCACCGTGTCCCCCGCGGTTTCCCGCATAACATAATAGAGAGCGTTCCCGAACACTGTACGCGCTGTTGTTGCCGGTATTTTCGCGCGGTGTGTGCCTTTGGTAGCTCAGGGAGTGACTGATGGCGCGACGCAGAGTCACGCACATGATTTTTTTTCCATCTTGGCTTGCCCTTACGGTTCCAAAACCATCAACGAAATATAGATTTTCCGTGAGCCGGCAGCTTTCAACCCTGATCCCGTGGTATCGTTTTTTCTTGTCCATATGTCCTGCGTCACCGTTACCAACGTGTCTCCGGTGCGATCGGTATTCTCGTATCCCCGTCCTCGGCAGGACCGTACGGCCGAGCCGCCACCGAGGCAGCCTGTGACGTCGTCCGGAGCTGCGCACTTTCGCACGAGTGCCGGACGGTGCTGTCTCAGTCCGGATTCTTTGTGGACGCCTTCGCCCAAATCATGTAAACCAGAGAGAGTTTACCGGAACACCGGTACCAAACACAATCATTATTACACGCACGTTCAAGGGGCCCAACGGCGTCTGAACCACCCCATGATTGTTGGATGCAGCCCCTGGCCTCATTTTTTTATTCCTCGCGCTTGCCCCCTACCGCTTGCATCGCCGGTGTATTGCTCCCGTAACAATCTCTCGTGCCGAAAAAAACAAGGCTTTCGCGGTCCTTGTCCCTGTTGCCGATTCTCCTCTAACAAACCTCTGTGCGCAGCAGCCTACCGATGGTATGTTGCTCTCACATCTCTCTCTCTTGTGAACGAAAAAAACGAAACTGGGGCGGAATTCTCCCTCTCGCCAACCCCCCTCCGATTTTCCGCTCGGGCACAGCCGGCTCTGCGCAAAGGCCGCGAAAACCAAGCCCGGGACTGCATCGTTCACCACTTTGGCTCGGCGTATTGGAGACCTGGCAGGCGTTCTGGTGAATTCCTCGCTCAGAGCGGAGGGCCAGAAGGCGTTGATGCAGGTGTGCTCTCCCGGCCTGTCGTTTGGCGACGATCGTGTTCCTTTGACTTCGCGGGGTCGTTGCGTCGACGGTCGCCTTACGAGGAGGCACCTCTGAGAGGAGTTTTTTTTGTGAGTTTTTTTGTGGGTCTTAGCCGTATACTCTCCCAAGTGCGGACTGCGTACGGTTCGAACACGCGTGGTGGTGACCCTCTAGCTTGCTGCTGCTACTACAGCTGGCACTGCCGAATAAGGCGGGCGCGTGCCAACGAATGCTGGCAGCTTCGTCACTGCTTGTGAAATTCCCAGCAATTCAACCTCGCTTTTGGCATTTTGATAAAGTGAATTTCCAATTTGCACCGATACGTTTGCCAGCTTCCGGAGGGAAGCGGGCTTTCGTCCTTTTCTTCTGCGGGCCAATCGTCGCTGGGAGATGCATCGTCTCACGAGCTGCTGCCGTTTCTTTTCTTCCCTCAACGTAGGTGGAAGGTGCTTGTGACATGCTCGGCGACTTGGTGGCTGTCTGCCTCCGCGCGACTTCCCCCACTGCTGCGACGGCGGCGACAACAACGTACTCGGTGCTGGTGACGCGCACTCTGCTGCTGCTGCGGAATCTTGCGCTTGCCCCGAGCACGGGCCAGGTGTGTTCGCTTCACTCGTCGATTCCAATGATGATATGATGTCTTTGTTTCCAAATTGTGGCGTCACGAAGTCCTAGCGTGCCCATCTTCCTGCATGGATGGTGGTGTACGTAGACGCTCTACATTGCTGCTTGAACTGTGGGCCTCTAGCCATTGACACCCCCCCGTCATACCAAAGTTGAAGTGGCAATGACCGTTAGTCAACAAAAAAGCCTGAGCGTTGCGTTCTTCGTCAGTGTTATTTCATTGTGTACCATGAGTTTCATGGTAAGAACGAACCTCGTCCTTTGTTGTCGTTGTTGTTAGCATTGTCTTTTGCTTTTGACCGAACAACACCCTTTTTTTGCTCAATGTTCGTGTTATTTTTTTATGACTGTTTCGGGATTACTGCAACTGCTGTACAGATATCCTTTGCGTTTGCTTTTCGTTCGTGGGGGCGTCTCCAAGTCTCGGTTCTCTGCCACGCACCAGAGAAAAGGTTTGCCCACAGGAATCACTATGTTCAGAGACTTGGGCCATCGGCTCATCTCGTGACACAACTATATTCAAGCTGTCCGCCCCGACGCCCATCATTTCCTAGAACAAACCGCAAGCCAAATATCTCGTCGAGCTCATTCGCCCCACCCGTTGCTCTCCACCTGGCGGCAGATCGCCGCACACCGCACGTCTGTCGTAGACCTCATTCTCCGGAGCACTGGCCGAGAAGGCGAAGGCGAGCTGACTCGGGCCGCGGTGTCTTGCCTCCGAGCTGTGCTAAGAGGGAGTTCCAACGACGGAGGCGGGAAAACGGCCGTCGGCGTGGGGGATAGGGGATCGGAGCTGGCGGCGGCAGTGGACCGGTGCCTTGGGGTCCCCGAAATCGCTGCACTGAGGTGCGTCGCTTGGCGCAGGGCAGGCCTTGTTGATTGCCTTGGCAGAAATACAACGAAGTATGGCCCAAAGCAACAGCTAGCGGATTTTCGTCACGGAACATCGGCTCGCCAGATGGCTGTCGACGTTTGACACGGGTGGATGAAGGTTGTAGAGGTATCTTGGCAAAGGAGGTGTCGTTCTTGCGTGACTGGCTCTAGAACCGAGCGCTGCGATTGGTGGTCGCCGTGATTGAATGGTTGCACTTCTCAGGAGTACCCAGGACCATTGGCTTGCCTACACGCCCTTCGCAAAAATCTGCGCGAGGTGCATACTTCCCGACGTCCTGACACAAACCAATGAGAAGAAACCACCCCGGCGTGTCAACCCTTACTGCCCCCCGCCACGCCCCACCCCGCTTTGTCTGCCGCCTTCCCGGCCCATCTCCCACAATTCCAAGCCACTCGAACGGTCTCATGAGACGAGTAGGGACTGTCGGCGGTCACGCGGAACGGCAGCTGCGGAGGGAGCTGCTCGCCGCGAAGGAGCTGCTGCTGTAGAAAATCACGCGTCGGGCTATGCATATGTTTGTTTTTGTGTACTGGAGTGTCTTGCCATGTTCTCCCCAACGAACCAACGGCATGGTCCGAGAAGTCAAGGCGTCACGGGTCACAGACAGCCCTCCAGTATGTACAATGTTTTTTGTTGCTTTCTTGAGGTTCGGCTTGGTCCGTGTCGCACTTGCCGCAGGATCATGTGTAGAAATTCTCGAGTTTTTTTCTCCTTTGGCAGCGATGTCACCCGCGTCCCTGAGGACAACGGGACAAGTTCGGGCAAATCATACAAGGTACAGTACAGTACAGTACAGCAGTACAGTAGTCATTCTCTGATTGTTGTGGATTTGTTTTAATCCAAGACCTCGGGGAAGAGTAGCTGCGGGAGTGAAATCTTCGGAAGTTTCGTCAAGACGTTGTAGCTTATGGGGTTGAACGTATCACTTGGACGTCATTTCCTCGTTCTCTGCATCTTTGGGTGCACCAGGGCATTGTTCTCAGCCGTCGAGGGTGTCAGTGGCTGGAGTGCCGGTCAAGCGCGTGCTTTGTCGTGTGTTGTTGGTCAGGGCAGCCAGGTTGGCGCGCCGAAGTAGCTCAGAGAATGCAGCTGCGGCGAAGAATAGAAAAAAAAAAACACAAACACGTAAAGCATTGCTAATCTGTCTCAGACTCTTTTCTATGATAGATGGTTTATTGTGTCATAATTTACTAAGAAAAAAAAAAAACACAAACACAAACACAAACACAAGCACGGAAAGGTTACCGATGTGGGCAGAAGCAAAATAATGCTTGCGTTTGGCACCCCTGGGAAACTTCACCCGCGAACTTGTTTTCGTTTCACGTCGATTTCGGTACTGTTCGTTGGGATCGGTGCTCGAAAGCAGATGGTGGGGGACGGTGTGCGTATCGCCGGCCGGACGTCTCTCGAAGGCACAAGCCCTTCTTCGCCTGGCGACCATTCACGCCGAGAGAACATACATCACTCCGTGGGACGGTGGGGGGGGTGGCAGCGTCAAGTGGCACTTGGGAGATGACAGTCATGGTGTATCATACGCTCCAGCTCCCTTCACCGGTACTACAGAGTCCGTCTCAGTGAATACAGTCCGTATTATTTGTGAATGAAGCCTTCAGTATGTAGATAACGTGAACAACTGCTGACGGTCGTTCGTTGATGGGGCCTTTCGTTGTGCCATGAAATCAAATAAAGTGGTACGCGTTACACGCACGTGACGCATACATGTTGGTTCACGTGAAGTTATCGGTCCTTGTAACACAGGGGGGAGGGGGAGCGTAAACGATACACACATAGACTACACACAGGAGTATGTAGCAGCACTCCAGAGGGGGTAGTATACTGCTCCACCACTATGCACATAATAAAACCAACTTACAGCAGAAGAAGAGGTGAGACAAAACATTGGAATGTGTGGGACGATTCCGGTCCGATCAATGATGGTGGCAGGAGCAGAGAGTATGAATCCGTGAATGCGCACAATATTTGTTTACTAAGTGCAACAGCTCATAGCTAGCACCAAGCACCGGTTCTTCGTACACGTGGAAGGCGTACAGTTCGGAGGGACCCCAGTTCAAAAAAAATCTGCGTACAACTCTTGCACACACGCCGTTTGAAGCTGAAATCGTTGGCCGCCTTTGGTGCACTTTGGCGGCGTCACGACCGTGAGACGGAATAGGAGCTCAAGGCCATCTGCGTACAACGCCTCACCCGGCCACTGGTGATCAAGAACTTCGTCTGTTGGGAGGTACGGAACAACGGTCGCATCGATCAATCTGTAGAGTAGCTGGGTGGTGTGTGTCCTGCGCAGTGCTTTACTGCGAACTCGCTCTCTTGCATTATTGCCTACTGCAGTGCTGTACAAGGGAAGGTCAACATGAGAAAGTGGAGGCCTGCTGCATGCTGTGAGCGTGCGTGCCACCAAGCGGGACACACGAACCCTTAACAATCGGTGACCTCTCGTGTGTTACTATCTCTGACCGATTGTGTGCGGCACCAGCAGGGAGGACTTCAGCTTCAAATTTCAAATCCACTGAACGGCTGCTGTGCATGTTCTAACTGGTTCTACGGGTAACTTGATCGAAGAGTTCAGAGTTTGGACTCACCTATAAACGAGACGCGCCTCCACATCACAGTCGGTGCAGCATGGCTGGGGGAATTCGATGATGGCGATTCCTTTTCATCTATATCTTGGTCACGCACGATGGTGTGCAAACCGCTGTGCACATGCACAGCGATAAGAACAAGAGTTATTGAACCTGCCTCCATGATACCCCGGCGGATGGGTACCGAAGACGTGCAGAGTCGACTGGTGTCTGAATCTATGGAATGGATGCAAACACACAACATAAAAAAGCCCAAACACGTCATGTTACTACATGGCTTTTCTGCTGTGAAAGAGTCTACGCTACAGCTGTAGTGCAGCAATATCACAGCATCCGGTAGGTTGCGTAAGATACCACACCCCCTGGACAGCTCGAAACTCTGTACCACATAAATACAGCTGACTCCACGACGAAAAGAAAGATGCCACAATCAAATGGTACGTGTTCCGAAAGCTCCCGACGCGACGGTTCCCAACGCCGCCGTGTATTCAGCACCGTTGCCTTTTGTGCTGCAGAGTTCTCCAGCTTTGACAATCGGTCCAGCGGGGGGGTAGTAACCTCGTGCAATCGCCGGCAGAGTCGCCATCAGCCGTCGCCGGCCCGCCGGCCGATCGATCCCGGCACCATGGGCCACCTTCCATACCCCTATTTGTTGGCGGCTGCCCAAGCTGAAGACGGACAGCGAACGCCTGCTGCGTCGCCATGGATGGTGACACGCCGTTGGCACACCTGAGCTCCTCGCCCCCCGCAAGCAGCACTTAGTCACGCCCTCGTTGGACGAAGGGTTTCGTCTCTCAATCCGGCGAGAACCCGTGCGTAGTACACGGTGACAATTGATCGGCGGGCCGGTGAAGGGTAGCGTAGCAGCACTTCGTATGCCGCATGGAATTGGATACTAGCTATGCCAAATAGCGTTTTTGCACTCGCAAGAAAATGCGGACGCTTTTGTGGCGGTGGTACAATAGATTCGTACCGGCCCCCCTCCCCCCAAGTACGCAGGCTGGCCATGCCCCGATTTTATCACGGGGTTAACGATGATGGACAGAGCGGGTGTCCATCGCGGTACCCCCGAGGACACCCGTCTGTCCATCAGGGTTACCATTCGTAGGAAATAGCGCCATCAGGTCATGACCCGATGTCTTCACGTTTACTTACTCCAATACCGCCATCGGGTCATGTCATGATCACGACCATGACCCGATATCGTCCCACGGTAAGGAAACCGTACTGGACAGAGCGGGTGTCCATCGTGGTACCCCCGAGAACACCTGTCTCTGCCCATTAGGGTCACCACTGGTATGAAATTACGCCGTCGATCGGTTCATGACGTCATCACCCCACCGAAGAGTGACACCCCTTCAGCTTGATGCCATACGTGTCGTGCCATACGTGTCGTGCCATACGTGTCGCCAAAACGCATTGGGTACGTCACCTACTAGGAGCATGCGGCCTGTCTAATTCCTAGTGGTCCCATGCCGGGGGCGGTGTATGGTAACCCCGTAGTGTCATGATACCATCCCCTGGGGTGGATTGACTTCCCCACATGGTGTGATCATACCAGGCCCGGGACCGGTGTACAACCCCCCCCCCCCCTACTTCCCCCTCGTTTGTTGGCCATGTTTCGGGGGGAGGGGTTAGAAAATCGAGGTAGCAATGTAGAGAAATGGGCCGGCGGTGGCACCTGTTGCGCAGATGATGTGCCGGTGGGATTGTGTGTGTGAGTGTCTCAAAGACGTCCGCGATCAATGTGTGTGCACACAGGCCTTCGGGAAGGAAAATCGAACACTTTACCGCTCTCGCTCTCAACTAATCAACTCTTCCCCACCTAACCAAATTTCCAACCGTGAACCCCGACCTCTTTAAGACCCCCAGACCCTACTCTCAACCTCTTACAATTTTCATGATCTTACTTGACTACTGTATAGATACACCAGAAATGAGCCCAGCCCTGCCCACTGAACCAAACGAACCTAAGTCAATTCCTTCATGCCACACTCCCGGTCAGTTGGACCGGTACGGATATTAGAAGGAACTGAGAGAAGTTACCATATCGTGCTTCTTATGACAACCCCCAAGTGTTCGTTCTCTTACTTTCAATAGTGTTGACTTATTGCACAACGACAACAAGCAAGGCGCTTTCTGGCTCGCTGAAGAGGATGTCTGCTCCACTGGACAAGGCGCTTTTTTCACCAAGTCCTTTGTGTGACGGTTCTGTGTCTATCCTAACCGTGAGATAGCAGCTCGAACGTAGGAGTGCAGCGCCGACGGCCAGCCATCGATACTAGGGACTCGCGACGTCGGCTGGAAGGAAGGCGTGACGTGACTTACACCTGGCCCAGCAAGTTTTTTCGGGGAAGACAGCGGTTTGGTGATCGCCATGTCGGGTCATGCCGGCGGGCCGGCACCGAAGAAGATGAAGCAAGTTCTTCTGGGCCAATGGCTGCAGCAGTCCGGTGAGCCGTCGGAACCCTTGAACAAGTGCTCAAGTCGGCGTGTGTCTGCGTGTTTGTCCCTGGCTTCGATGACCAGATGCTTGGAATCCAAAGGATGTACGTTCGATTTGTTAGTCGAATACTGTGGGCACAGTTCACGTGTAATTTTGATGCACGTGGTCTACCCACAAGCAAGGTGCAAGGTGCAACAGGTCACGATGGTAGCGCGCTCTCCCACAGCGCGGCTTTCCTGTGCTACTGGTCTCCCGGTCGGCAACATCATAACCACCGCAAACTGCAATTAGCACGGTGATGATTTTCGTTGGTTGACACGCTCGGTTGGGTCACGCGCCGCCAGCCTCCAATCAGAGCATGCCGACACACCTTTTTCGGCACGTTCGGGAAGGTCATTTGATGACGGCCACGGGCAGGGTCGCTGTTTTGTCTTGCTTGGCTTCTGAAGCGAGAATTGTTGCCACCCTGGCCTGAATATAGCGGGAAGACGGCAAATTGCGGGGGTAGGTTCTCTACCGATCACGGCCACCTCCACGTTGTGCCTGCCTCAGCTTCTCTCTTGGTGCACACCGACGCACGACCGGCCAAGCAAGAAGATTCTTGTTAAGAAAGAATTTGCTGTACGCGCTTATCAAGCCAAGGTTCCGACCGAAAAACAAAAGCTCGATTACTGCTGTACGACGGAGAGGATGTATGGATACAACGGCACGCTTTCGGAATACTCTCAATGAAGCGGTTCCAATGCCGCCAATTTTCGGCACCGCCGCTCTTTCTGTGGTGGAGCCATTTAGCTTCGAAAACCGTTCCAGGGTGTGCGACAACCTACGTCACCACCAAATAGTCGATTTCGGGTAGCAAGTACACGCTGGTGTTTGTGCATCGCGGCTTGTGCGGTGAAAAAAAAAACGGTGCTGCATTGCGATGACCGTGACTCATCGTGTTCAGTATACACCCGCCCACCGGCTACGAGAGAGATTGCCCCGTCGCACAACCGACCGTAAGGGCCGAAAGGCGCTCCTTCGCGGCAATCGTTCTTGCGATGGCGAAGTTACGCTGTCATGTTACCTCGGGCTATGAATCGGGCCAAGAAGCGCACACGGCGGAAGAGACCGCTAGTCCGAGATTACTTTCCGCCGCCAGCTTTTGATACAAACCGTATGTTGGCGGTCGCTTGAGCCACTGCTGTGTGGGCGTGACTTCTCCCTACAGTACCACCTTCCCCGTGTCTTGAGAGTATCGCTCACGCTTGACTGTTCCGCACCACCACGGCCCTCATCATCCAAGATATGCCATGGTTGTCCGTCTCCGAAACGGCTTTATTCCGGGCTGAACTAGACCCTTTTGTTCCTTAAAACAGATGGGTCGAAGCCGGCGGCCGTCAACGGCAGCGCGGCTCCCTCGCCGGCCAGGAGTCCGTATGGGAGCGCAGGCTATGGGAGCGGAGGCGGAGGCGGCGGCGGCGGCGGCGGCGGCGGGGGGGGGGATGCGTGGGCCAAGTATCAGGCTCCTCGTGGGGGCCACCGCTCGGGGTAAGGGCTGCTGCGATTCAGAAAGGTTTCTCGTGGTGTTTCCGCTGCTGGTGTGTTCGCGATTTCGCTCTGACCACCGACGCTTGACATCTGGTAAGCCCGTATGTGTGCGGTTTCTTGTATATCGTTTGAAGAGAGAGTGTGGTTTGAAACGGGAGGATCCGCGACAGAGAGACTTCAAAGCGCCGAGTTTTGTTTGAGTGGTCAGATGATCACGCGGAGCGCGAGGACTGCGCGTGCGCAACACGAGTAGGTACTTGAGCGGCGACACCCCCTCGGGCGTATCCCGGCCCTCTTGCTGTGTTCGGAACCATCAGCGCCACACGTTCGTGGTCAAGCGCAGAGACACGGTACCTAAGCCGCAACGAGAGCCCAGCAACCCGACGTTATTTTTCCATTTTTCCGAAGCGCTGCCGTGAACACGGTACGGGCACGTAGCAGCCGCGCTTGCTTTTTCTCTCTCTCAATACTCTCAATACTCTCAATACTCTCAATACTCTCTCCCTCTCAATACTCTCTCTCTCTCTCTCTCAATACTCTCTCTCTCAATACTCTCTCTCTCAATACTCTCTCTCTGTCAATACTCTCTCTCTCTCTCTCTCTCTCTCTCTGTCAATACTCTCTCTCTCTCTGTCAATGCTCTCTCTCTCTCTCTCTCTCTCTCTCTCTCTCTCTCTCTCTCTCTCTCTCTCTCTCTCTCTCTCTCTCTCTCTGCCTTTGTTTTTCTCTCTCCCTCCCTCTCTGTCAATACTCTCTCTCTCTCTGCCTCTGGTTTTCTCTCTCCCTCCCTCCCTCTCTCCCTCTCTGGAAACCGCAGTTCCTCCACACAGGACCAGAGGTCAGCACACAGCAACTACAGCATCACCAGCGGCTCGTCCTACAGCAAAGGCGTCGAACGTGCAGCAGCCAATCACAGACATTCCTCAGCAAGACGAGGGCAGGCTTTTGACTCCGGCGGGGGGGGATCCGCCATTGACCTTGCCGCCGACGACAATGGCGACGTTGGGAAGGGTGTAGAGGCGGGAACGGCAGGAGGGGAAGCGGAGGCAATACCCTACCCGGCCGGGCTGGGGGACATACTGGGTGAGTACCGACTGCGGTGGCTATCCTTTGGGTGTCGTTGCTCTGCTGGTGGTGCCTGCCCGTGCTTTTTTCGTCCTGATGGCGGTGAGTGCATGTATCCTTTGTCAAGCTTGGTGCGAGAGACCACATCCTGTGCCTGTGGCGCGTGTCCGCTAGCGCGGTATCTGCTCACTTTGTGGACACTCGTGTCGGTGGTTACACACCCGAACACGCTGCTTGTGCTGTGGTGGATAGAAGCGTGAGCAAAATATATACCAGGAGTATTATTCTTTTTTCTGCATCCCCATTCCGCAGACTCACTCAGGACAGAAAATAACTGTTCGGCGATCAGTGGTGCTTTGACGTTTGCGTTGTGGCTCGTCGGGAGCAGCTGCCAGGCATCATGAAGCTATACAGCGGCATCTTTGAGCTGCATTAAAATATCTTGCTTTATTTCTTGGAAAGTTTGTCGCACATCCGCCATGCAGAAAGCTCTTGTGAAGGCGATCCACATGGTTTTTTCCACTGGCTTCCGCCTCGCCTACTGTGTGGGTGCTCCTGATGCAGTTGGCGGCACCCCCCCTCCCCTCCCGTGAGGGACTGTGTCAGGAGCAATGGCCCGTGATGACAGTCGTTTATTTCGCCACCGTTCCTCCGGCTCCTCCGCCATGTATCACTCGCCGCCCCAAGTCTGTGCCCGCGGGTCAATATTGTTTGCGGTGTGTTCTGATGCGCTATTGGCTTGTCGGGTCGTGCGTGTGCCTGGAATCAACCAGAGGGTCTCTGCGAGGAGCAAAGGCACGTGATCGACCTCGTGCTTGAGGGGAAGTCGGTGTTCTTCACGGGGGCGGCGGGGACAGGCAAGAGCTTCCTGCTCAAGAAGCTTCACCAGGTGCGGTGTGCATTTTCTCTTGTTACCGTTGTTGCTGTGATGAGTTTGTCGTTGTTGCCGTAGTTGCAGAAGTTGTGGTAGTCGCTGCCTTGCTTGTTGCTGATGCCGTGTTCTCGTTTGGTGGTTGTTTGTTGTTCGTCGTCGCTGGTGTCGGTGCTATTGCTACAGAAATTGTGTGTGTATATGTTCCGGTTGTGCTGTTTTGTGGCGGTGTTGTGGTGGCGTTGTGAGCGGGGTTTGTCGTTTCGGTCGCTGTTGTGGGTGTTGTGGATTCGGGTGTTTATTGGTGGTGGTGGTGGTGGCGGCGGCGGTGGTGGTGGTGCTATTTACTCGTTTCTGTCGTTGTGTTGAATCGGCACGGATTCGGTTGATCTTATTGGTTGCCTGACTTTGGTGTCATGGACATGTCTATCTGCTACATCTGTGTTATCGTGAAACTTTTCAAAGTCCTGTTCATTCGGACGTTCGATGTCTGATTTGTTTGCCCTCGAACATGCTGGTTGCAGGCGTTAAGGCAGGCTGATCAAGGAGCGACGACGTTTATGACGGGGACCACAGGTATGAGATGAAAGATAAGAACGACATGAAAGATGATTAGATGCCTGTTGGGCACATTGTTTTCATGGGTATCGGTGATGCAAAGTGGAGTAGGTTGATGTAGGCCATATCGACAACGACCTACCCCATGGGCTTGGAATAGTCAGCAATGTTTTATCGGCAACAGCAGTGTTTTTGTGGCTTCATACTGGACGTGAGTTGTACAACTTTGCCTGTCGGTAAATTTTTTAACACGGAAGTAGCACGGGCAGAGAGCCGCACACGATTGTGTGTTGGGCCCACCTTCTTTCTGCGGTGCGTGGATAATTTCTCATCTCCACGCAAGGATTCACCCATCGTTTTTGTCTTCTCCACCGTCAAGTATAACTTTGTGTACACACGACCTCGTCGATTGCTGTTTGGAATTTCAATAGGAAAGAACATTCTCTTCGGCTCGTGTGACTGCGCAAAGGGTCGACCTTACGATCGAAGCTAAACAGAAGGCTGAAAAGTCACTGCCCCAACTGAACCGCTGATACGGCCAGGGCCAGATTTTGCGAAATCGGACCATGTTTGCCGTTGTCTCATTTGATGCGTTGCCCCTGCCTTGTTCCTCAGGCAAAGCGGCCGTGGGTATAGGAGGGTGCACCATCCACAGCTTCGCAGGAATCGGCCTAGGCAAAGATGTGAGTGGAGTGGAAGGTGCAGTGGCCTCGATATTGTTTTTTGCTTTCTCGTCTCACCCCGCGTTTGCTGACACCACTGCATCTACGTTCACTACGATACTGGATGGCTACGTTTTGGGGTGTACCACTCATCATGGGGCAAGCAAACACGATCCCCACCGATGCTGCTGAAAGCAGCCCGTGTTGGTTTTATGTTTCCCGACCACACCAAAACTTGGAGGTCGTCATGATGTGCAGCACTTTCTTGTCTTGGCACACACGAACAAATGATGCACCCCCCGTCGCATGCTAACATCTGTGTTGGGATGTTGGGTGAACAGTCCGTGGAGCAGCTGGTGGGTCGAGTGAAGCGGAGCCGGAACGCGCAGAAGCGGTGGGCGCAATGCAAGGTTCTGGTGATCGACGAGATCTCCATGATGGAGGCCGACCTCTTCGACAAGCTCAACCTTGTCGGGCAGAGGTGGGTTGAAGCTCTTGTTATTTGTTGGTGGTGTTGTTGCCTTTCGAAATTCTGGTGAGAAGTTGCCGCCCAAAAAATCCTCGGCATCATCCCTTCCTGTATTTTTTTCTGGCTTGACAGGGTGAAGGGAAACGGCCAGCCGTTCGGAGGCATTCAGCTCGTGCTGTGTGGGGACTTTTTCCAGCTGCCTCCTGTCGGGATTGGCCGCGGAAGCACTCGCTTCTGCTTCGAAGCCAGGACTTGGGACACCTCGATTGACCAGTCGATCGTGCTCAAGCAGGTGGGCCTAGCGCCTGATTTACTCCTGTTAGAGGTGTTTTTTTTTTTCTTACGTTGCAGATTTTGGTTGTGGCATGTTCAGGGCTGGTTCGTGGGCGGCGCTTCGGGAGTGTTTGTATGTCTGCAGCGCTGTAGGGCTTGTGCAAGGTTCAGTTTCTTGCTGTTGCTGTCGACAAGATGATCTGTCGCGATGTTCTCCTGCAGTTCGAACTGCTACACATGTGTTGCGTTTTTTTTTGCGTTGTGGGTAAGAAACTGGCACCAATGGCTTGAGCTCGTGTGCATTTTCATGGCACGTAAAGTCGTAATATTGACATCCCCTTCGACAGTGAACGTCAGTTGTGTCGCCTCCTGGGGCCTTCTTCTGTCTCTGTTCTCCCTCTCTCGCGCGCTCCCGCAGGTTTTCAGGCAGAAGGATCCGTTCTTCCTGAAGATCCTACACGAGATGAGGGAAGGCCGGGTCAGCTCCGAGGCCGAGCAAGTTCTCGCCAACAAGGTACTGTATGTATCATGCACGTGCGTACGCGTGCGGCATGTCCTCTTGCGGTCGGGGAGTTAGCCGCCGCGGTGTCCTCCGCACTTGCTCGCGAATGGTTACATCGGAAAATATCCTCTCCCTGGCTGGTGGTGTGTAATTGACGGCTGCACGGGGCTCTCGGTGAACCTGCTTGTGTGCTCGTAGTGTGTTCGTGCCTTGCTTTGGTTTTCTAGCCAAGCGAAGTCGTGCCGCGAGGGTCTGTTGACGGCAAGGGCAGAGTGTTTTCGAGAAGTCGTGGTGTCTATGGGAACACGGAAGGCTGCACGCGCGCCAAAGCAGCGTGTCAGTGTTGTGTCTGTGTTTCTTCGTGGCGCGTTCTTCGCCAGAAATATGCGTCGTCCTTGTCTTGGAGCGCGGTTACATTACATTTCTGTATGTGTGACGTCCTTCAGAATGGGCACGATTTTCCCAACGTCTCTCCGTCGAGGGGACGAGTGATACCCTCTTTTTCACATGGGCGCGATTTGGCACACCTATCACGCGAGGTCTAGCGTAACTAGATTCGAGGCGGCAGCACAGACGAATGGCCGACGCATGGCTCGCAACCATCGAGCACTGCCGACGGCATGGGGAGGCACACCTCGCCCACCATTCCGCATTCAGCATTCTCTTTCCTTCGCACCAACATTATTGTCCCCACCTTGGCCCTCTCCGCAGGTTGGGAAAAAACGTGTCACAGCGTGTATGCAAACCTGCACTCGACTTTCACCCGTCGAACAAAATGAATACTTCGCAGCCACAGTGTGGATGACCCTCCTTGTTTCTCGCTGCCCCCCCCCCCCCCGGGTCTCCAAGGGATGTATGTTTATGGATGTTTCCTTCACAGGGCCAGCAATGGCCCTTCCAACGCTACCAACAAATCAACGCTAAATCAACCGGGGGAATTTCCGCCGCCCCGCCCGCGGAATCCGGGAGCGGGGGAAGGGAAACTTCCTCCAAGGGCCCTCCGTCCGGAAGGGGGGGGGGAACGGGGGGGGGCGCTGGGGAAGGGGG